GGTGTCTGGGGTGAAGGCCTGTGAGGTGAATGGACAGTGGACCCTGTATCGAATCTGTTGAAGAAAAGATTCATCTCATTGGCCCTCTCCAGGACTCCCTCACTCTGTTGGCCACCGGACAACTTGTATCCGGAGATCTTCCTCATGCCATTCCACACTTCTCTCACATTGCTCTCCCTCAGCTTGTCCTCCATTTTCCTCCCATAAGCCACCTTGCTCTCCCTAACTCTCACCTTCAGCTCTTTCTGTGTTCGCTTCAGCTCCTCCTTTTCACCTGGCTGGAAAGCCCTCTTTTTCCTATTTAGGATGGCCTTCAGATCACTGGTGACCCACGATTTATTATTGGAGAAGCAGCGCACTTTCCTGGTGGGCACTGCACTGTCAACACAGAAGTTTATGTAGTCAGTGATGCAGTGGGTAAGACCATCAATGTCATCTCCATAAGGCTCACAGAGTATCTCCCAGTCCGTTGTTTCAAAACAGTCCATCAGTGCATCATTAGCCTCAGCTGACCATCTCTTCACTGTCCTGGTGGTTACTGGTTCCTGTAGTACAAGAGGCTTGTACAGAGATAGGAGGTGAACAAGGTTGTGGTCAGATCTGCTAAGGGGGGGGAGTGATGTGGAGCTGTAGGCATTCTTGACATTAGCATACAGCAAGTCCAAAGTCCTGCTATCTCTAGTAGGGCATTTAACAAACTGACTAAAAGTAGGCAGGGTAGAGGAGAGCGAAACATGATTAAAATCGCCAGTTATCAAGAACATGGCTTGTGGGTGACGAGTCTGTAGTCCAGCTGTAACATCACATGCTGAGGCTGCGTCGGCAGAGGGCGGGACATATACCAGTACAACAATAACCTGCGTGAACTCCCTAGGTAGGTAATATGGCCGAAGGCTAACTGCTAGTAGCTCAATGTCCGGGGTGCAGAGCTGTTCTTTTACAGTTATATGATTACAGTTACACCATCTGTTACTCACAAACACTGCTAGCCCTCCTCCTCTCTTTTTACCGCTCTCCTTGATTTTCCGATCCGCACGCACTATCTGAAAACCCTCTATTGTAGCGTTAGCGTTGGTAACCAGTTCATTCAACCAAGTCTCTGTGAAGCACATAATAGAGGACTCACGATATTCCCACTGGCTCCTCGTCAGCACCGCTAGTGCCTTATTACAGTGCCTCTAGTTCAATTTGATGTTTAAACTTTATTTTCTGATAAAATGGAACAAAAATATCAATAGAAACCAGAGTGTAATTTTACAAATTTGGAATAAACCAAATTTTCAAATTATTTTTTCATATTGAATGTTTATTATATAGAAATGTCAATTCATTTTGTTGAATTATTACGATAGAATTAAACTCTATAGTGTACTTTGTACTAATGTTCTGTATGAATTAATTCCTTTTCAATGTATTGTAAAAAAGTACAATGAGACCTAAGACTGTTGTTCAAAATAATAATAATAATGTTATATATCATGGTTTGTTGTTGGTTTGTCGCTGTATTTTCCTATGATGTAATAAGGTATGCATGTGAGATATAATAATAAGACATGTAAAAACAATGAATTGGTATTTTATGATGTTTACTATAGTTTACTCAGAACCCAACATGGTTTACCATGTAGGAGGAAAATGCTAGGAAAAAAATTATTTTATTGAACTTATTTAAAGTTGGAATTTAAATACGTTCAGAAATACTGCATTAAACAAACTTGCATTCAACATGTTGCAATAATATGCAACAATTTACATTTATTTATTTATTTATTTTTAATGTACCCAAACTGTGGTCAGACACAAATCTGTGGCAGTTGCAGTTAATTCTTACACGTCACATTTAAAATTGAAAATTCTCTCTCTCTTCATTTTCAGTTTGGTACAACGAGTCCTCCAAGGAAGAAACCAGATCCAGTGACATCAGAAACAGTTGTTTTTTGGGGGCTGCGGTTATGGCAAGTCATAGGAGTTTTTTCAATTTTCATTCTGGCAGTTAGTAAGTCACATTTTAAGAAAACTTTCAACATAATGAATCTATGTAAACTTCATTTTAAGAACTCATCTGTTTGCCAATGATAACTCTGTCGACACACACAAATATTTTTACAGATTAAAATATTATTCCTAGATTCTAACTTTTACACTGTCATTTACAGTAAATGTCACTAAAAAAATGCACTGTTTTATAGTGAGGCTGGTGGTGCCAAATTGCTGTATCCAGTATACAAAGTGCTTTGGGATCCTTTGGGATAAAGGTACTGTATAAATGCAAGTAATCCACATAATCATTATCGTATTTTTGTCCTGGCATTAAGAAATATAATTTAAAATACAATGAACCTTATATTATTATACTAATCTAATGATCTTTGGCTTTATACAGCTTTATCCCTAACTTGCTGTGAAAGTTATTTGGTCTTCATGACTGATTTTTTACTTGTAATTTATTATGACTGAGGGACCATACAGAGATACTGTAGGTGTTTTATTCTGAAAGCATGTGAACCACTATTGTTCCACACAGACAGAGGTTAATCTATTTGTAATCTATTATGTGGCCCCTTAAGGTACAGTAATTCTGTACACCTAAGTTAATTTAGGTTTCCCACAGCAGAGGGTTTGAATGCTTATGCAGTCATGACTTTCTATTTTTCTTTCAGATTTATTATCCACTGTATTTCTTTCAGTGTTTTGCTTTGTGAATGTGTGGAGTAGGTTGTGTATATACAGAAAATATGAATTGCTAATTCAAATTTTAAAGACTGCAAGCTTTTAAACAACAGATGTGATAACTGCAAAGGTCTGATTTTTTTCATGGCACTGTATAATGGAAGCACAGAATTTAAATAGTCATTAAACTCCATAATACACTAGTAACACATCATTTAGGATATTATGTAAAACTATTTAGACGGGTTCTTTATCAACTTATCTTGCCAATTTTGATTAAATTCAAAGACGAAATGCCAAGCACTTATTATTTTTATGGAATCTCCTGACTTGTGGGGTTTTAAGATCTCTTATGGAACATATGTAATCAAAAAATTAACTGAACTGTCAATTAACTATTTAAAGTGTTCTGCATATGCTCAGTTAGCTATTGATGAAAAATGTAGAAAAGTGTTCTGTCAGTTCAGAACTTTGCTTTACATTCATAAGTTTGTATTTACATTTTTACAGACATTGGTAATATAGAATATATCTAATATAGAAGTAAACAAAGCCTCCTGCATTATTTTCAGATATAAAAACTAAATAATAAAGTGATAATTATTTTTTCTCCAATATTTAAAAGGTCACACATGTCTTACACAACATGAACAAATTCTCAGAATTTTCTCAATACCAAAAGTGTAACAAAAACTACTGTATAAGTCACAGTTACTAAAATAAATTTGAATGTCAAGCTTTCAGAAGTATAGTATTACTTTTAAAGAATATGTAACCCACTCTACTCTAATGGTTAAAATTCGCTGTTGTATCACTGTACATTCTAATAAAGTTTGCTCGATACTGCAACATGTAGCAACCATAAAATGTTGGTCAGTACAAGATATATTTTAAGTCTCCAAATACTTATGGTAGCATTAATCAAGACATTGAATTTAAAGACCTTAAAAGTCATATTGTTGTCTTTAAAAATATGAATATGTTAAATTAAGAGAAATAAGAGACAGAATGTATTAAAGCATAGTCTTTCCCATATTTGCTACTGAAATGTAGCACCTCCACTGCAGTATCACTATCATTGCTGTCCTGTGTTCTGACTGCTCTCCCTACAGAACACCACTGGTACTGCAGTTAGTGTATTGTGAATCCCAAGTTGTAAGCTCAACTAACATTTATTTTTTTGTTATATAAAACAAATGATAAAAAAGTTATATTTTGAGCAAACACTTGAAAGTCTTTCAGGTTTTGGTTGTGAGAGAAAATTATGCAAACCGTTCATATTCCAAAAAATACTAATGAACTTGTCACGCCCTCTGCAGCCAGTCCTGTCCTGTCCGTAGTTTTCTCTGCTTTGCTGTTCTTCCGGTATCTCTCTCTCTGGGGCTATATATTTCTGGGTCACTCATTCCTTTCCGCTCAGCATTGAAGTCCGGATGTCCTGAGATCCACCTAGCACCAGGTTGCCCCATGTCCACTGCCTGAGGGCATTGGTTTCTGTTCGACTCCTGAACTGCTGAGCCTGGGCTAACCTTCGTCCTGTTCGTCTCTTCCGACATCCGTAACAAAACTGAAACAGTTCTTAAAGAAGATTAGGCCAAAATACTGACCAAACCAATGTGCAGGACTGATCAGTAGCTACAGGAAATGTTTGCTTGGGGTCAGCAGCTGAAGGACTTTCCACCATTTACTAAATCTAAAGGTTCACATACTGTACTTTTTCCAGCATAGACAGTAAATGGTTCAACAATGTCTTTAAGATAGGCAGGAAAAATTACAATTGTTTGTATGACATTTGTTTAATCAGATTGTGTTTATCTATTATGAGTTAGATGAAGATCAGATCACACTTTAGGAGCAATTAACGCAGGAACATAAACTTGTTCTTGCCAGTGTATTTTCCAAACTTTAAGAACAAAACAAAGTATAAAGACAACTGAAGTTGTCAAGGACAGGGGGAAGCAATTAATTCTATACCTGTGATCACTGGTAGCAAATTAGCACAATTATGTTATTAAGTTATCTCTTGGAGGATATAAGAATCATACTGAAATTGTTTTAAAGAGGATAATCTGAAAAACACATTTTAGAGGCCACAAGCCAGCTCCGTTGGCTCGTTCCAAAAAGTAACTTATTTTTCCAGTAGTGTAGGTCATTAATGACTATTAGAGGATTAGGGGAAATGTATTAATTTGTTGTAAAACTTGAATTGAACACTGAATTGATTTCTTAGCACAAAATTGTCTTTATTTACTTGTTTATGCTGAACCTCTTGATAGATATCTTAAGTAAATGCAATTCAAGTTGCCATAGGTTTCATATGCCACAGATATTCAAACCACATAGTACCAAGAACATTGCAAATGTATCACTTACACTTTTATTACATCAAAACTGCAACACTAATTTTATATTTCCTGTTGCACAGTCTAGACTTCCTTCCCTTTCCAATTACAATAGGGTCTCAATATCTGCAAATGTAACATTCAAAAATTGGCTTTTTCGTGATTCAGTTTGGATGACAGGGTCTTGGATGGAAGAAGTGCAGAGTGGGATGAAACTAAGACGAAGGATTTAAACACAACTTTCAAATTAGCTGCGCAATGGACTAGGATTGTGAAACAAACCTAGCTAGGAAGTGAAGTTGTTCTTGCCTGAGTACCCACTACCCAGCATCTGCACCTTAACATGGTCTTGTTTTTGTATTGTAACAAATATTCCCAGGTGTGTGTCAGTGGCACCAAATCCATGTGAATGTTTAGACCCTACTGTAGTATCAATTCAATTTAGTTTTATTTGTTAAGTGCTCTTTACAATGGACATTTTCACAAAGCAGCTTTATAGATTTTCAGGCCTGAACTCCCAGTGAGCAAGCCTAAGCTGACAGTGACAAGGAAAAACTACCTTAGACTAAAGTAGGAGAAGAAACAAGGCTCGAAAGGGGGAGCCTATCCTCCTACAGCCGGCACCGGGTAAAATTAAAGTGAACACATATGAGAGTCGTCTATATTCTATTACATGGTGGAAAAAGCACAATCATGTATGGTAATGTCCAACAGTGTCTGGAATGTTCAGTTCGCTTCCTTCAGTTGAGATTTCTTTGGGAAGGGCTTTGTAGAGGATCGGCTGTTGATTTTCCGACCAGTAAAAGGAGCTGGATTTTGGACCTGGGCCTCCAAACAGTCCACCTCAGAATGGATGGATAGAAAAGAGATACAATATTAGTGAATGACAATGAAAACAGAAATTGGTATTTTGAATGTCTTGAAATTCCTAAATATTTATCTGAAAGCTTGACTAAACAAATATGTTTTACCTAGATTTGAACATTGAGAGTGTGTCTGAATCCCGCACATCTTTGGGGAGGCTTTTCCATAATTGGAGAGCTCTATAAGAAAATGCTTTGTTAATAATAATTTAATTATTATTTGTTGCCAGCTGTGACTTTTTTAATTCTAGCAACAACTAGGTAACCTGCTCCTTGTGATCGAAGTGTACAAGAGGGATTATAAGGGACTAAAAGATCACTCAAATATTGTGGGCCAAGACCATGCAAAGCTTTGCAAGTGAGCAACAACAATTTATAATTAATGCAGAATTTAACAGGAAGCCAATGCAGAGATGACAGAACAGGAGTAATATGTTAATATTTTCAAGTTTTTGTGAGTACTCTAGCTGCCGCATTCTGAACTAACTGGAGTCTATTTAGGGACACTGAAGAGCAACCAGAGAGCACAGCATTACAGTAATCCAATCTTGAAGTAACAAATGCATGGACTAATTTTTTGGTGTCATGGAGAAATTGCAGCCTCCTAAGCTTGGTGATGTTTCTTAAGTGGAAGAAGGCTACACTAGAAAGATTTCTAATGTGAGTATCAAATGAAAAAGCACAATCTATAGTAATACCTAGGGTTTTAGTTACTGTACTGGGAGCAACACAAAAGACGTCAACAATCAAGGTGCATTTAGGTAGCCTAGTTTTAGCAGCCTTATGACCAAACATCAGCACTGTTTTGTCAGAATTAAGCAGAAGGAAGTTGCAGCTTCTAATGTCTTTCAGACAGTTTTCTATCTTGGAAAATTTAGATACTTCATCTGGTTTGACTGATATGTACAGCTGAGTATCATCTGCATAACAGTGGAGGTTAATGTCGTGCTTACGAATTATATGACCGAGGGGTAACATATACAAGGAAAACAGCAAAGGACCAAGCACTGAACCTGGAGGGACTCCATATTTTACTCTGGTAAGCTCAGAGAATTAATTATTTACATGTACAAATTGATAGCTATTATTTAGGTAGGATCTGAACCAGGAGAGTGCCTATCCACTTATGCCAACAATGATTTCAAGTCTGTTTAATAGAATGTTATGATCTATGGTATCAAATGCTGCGCTTAGATCTAATAACACAAGCATAGAAATGCAGCCACGGTCAGTGGAGAGATGTAGGTCATTCAGTACTTTGACTAAAGCAGTCTCTGTATTGTGGTGTGTTCTAAAGCCTGATTGAAAAACTTCAAAGACTTTATTTCTTTGCAAAAATTTACGTTACTGTTTTGTTACAGCTTTCTCCAGGACTGTAGA